CCCCAAAACCCCAAAACCCCAAAACCCCAAAACCCCGGTTTGGAATGGGGTAGTTGAAGTGTTAAATTTAGGAAATTTTGGGATTTGATCCGTGATCTGTGAGTTTGAATAGGTAGTTCCATTGAATAGAGCGTTTGGATTCGTAAAAGGCTGATCGAAGCATATCTACTATACCAAAGGGTATAAATAAGATTAGTATTAAGCTTGCAACGAATGCCAAAAGAATTGAACTTGTGTAATAAGAAAATAAGAAAATAATTGCTTGGACTATCACAAACCATTTCTTGTATTGAGGTATTCGAACGAAGTACAAAGATGTCCAGGTAAGATTAGATAATACTTCTGCATCAATATCACCAAATCCTCCTGTTTCAGAGTTAGTTTTAAAATGTCTTTGAGTATTACTTCAAGTAGTCTCTTTACAATTTGTGTCCTAAATTGAAATATGGCTTTGTCAAAGCTGCTATCTAGATAATTCTAGACATGAATTTTCTTAATACTTAAAAATTTCAAATTAAATACCACCTCTTTCTTCAACAAATGGTCTTAATTCTCAACCATCAAACCCTTCCCACTACAAACTACATCACCCTAACAACCTCCCCAAAACTCCACTCCCTCACCCTCATTCTCCCCCATTCCCCCACCTTAACCCCCTCCCCCTTCCCACCCTCTCATCCACCAGCCCCTAAAAAATTCCCAAATCTTCCTCCCTCTGCTTAACCCTCCCAAAGTCCCTACGAAATCTTATTCCTTAAGCCCTGATTTCTCTAGTCTCTCTTACATAAATAAGGGTTCTTCCTGAGATATTTAAGAGAGAATCTGACATCGTTTTACTATCTAAAGCTTCTGTCATTGAGCATGCTTTGACTGCTTCCTAGCCTGCAAACAGTCCGAAGCCATATAACAGGTGTCTAGTCTTTGGGACCCACTTGTACTTCATCCCTACCAGCCCAGGAAACTTTTGCTTCACTCCAAAGTACCTTTTGGATAACATATTTGTATTAGCTCTAAGCATATTTTAATTTATACCTTTCTGTTTTAAAGGATTTTATGGGGTTTTGGGGTTTTGGGGTTTTGGGGTTTTGGGG